TCGTTTCTTCATGCGGCTGTGCGTAACTTGTAATTATAATTGTAATGTTGTACGATTTAAGAGCGTGGGGCACGATTCGAGTCCGAGTCACGGGTATCGAAAGTTATTTATTTGTATCGTGAGATCGAGCATCGATCAAAATGAAACCTTTTCGAGCTTCGTGCGAGTGAAAAAAAAGAAAAAATGATTGGAACGCTTCTTTCTTTTCTTATCTTCTTCTTTCGATTGAAATAAATAACGATGTTTAAATGACGATCGATCATTTATACCGATCGGTCGAAATGTAAAATTTATAAAAACTATGAAAAAGGTAAAAGAAGAAGAAGAAGAGGAGGAGGAGGAGGAGGAGGAGGAGGAGGAGAAGAAGAAGAAGAAGAAGAAGGAGGAAGAGGAAGAGGAAAAAGAAGAAGAAGAAGAGGAAGAAGATAAAACACATTTGTATCATACATGTATACCTGTCGCAATGTAATTAGCCGTAATTAAATAATTGTCGATATATCGATACGGTTTATCGTTAAAAGTTTCGTACACGTTTCGTACGAGTACTTTGAGAATAGTCGAATCGATTTTTTCGTCGCGATGTCCAAAATAGATGATACGTGTAAAGACAATGTTTATCGGAGTTATACGTTGTTTAAGAGGAAGAACAGGAATGATATTATATTATATTATATGATTATATTATATATTATAATTATATTATATTATATTATATTATATTATTATATACGTAAAAAGAGGAATCGAGAAAAAAGTGGGGAAGAAAAAAGAAAAAGAAAAGAAAAAAAGAAAAAGAAATAAGAGACAGAGAAGGAACGTTTTCGGACAAGCATACACACACGCGTTGGAGAATGTACACTGGTGACACGCAATTACTCTAGTGACAAAAAAGGATAAAAATGAAAAAAAGGAAAAAATGAAAAGAACAAAAAAAAAAAAAAGAAAACCTAAAATAAAAATACATTATAAATACATCGCATAAGCAAACACACGTGCGTCGCGGTTAAGATTTCAGATAAATATATTATATACAGATATTTATGATATGTGAATGGCCGTCGGGGAATGACGAAGGATTATTATGTTTTGAGATCGTTTGAAAGATTGTATTGGACGAGATATCGCTCCGCCATTGCTTCGCGAGGTCCCTCTCTATGGCATGTAAAATGAGAAAAAGAAAAAGAAAAAAAAAAAAAAAAAAAGAGAAAAAACATTTGAAAGCACATCTTCTTTTTCTCTTCCTTTTTCTTCTTTAAAATTTTTCTTCTCATTCTTAATGTGTTTGGAAAAAAAAAAAAAAAAAAAAAAGATTTGTCATGCGATGCGCTATCTCGTCGGACGAAGAGCGGAGAACACTGTACTGTATTTTACGATATTACGTAATTATTGTATATGTACCTATATGGATAACGGGGAGGAAGAAAAAAGAAGAAAAGAAAACAGATAGGCGCCTAAATACGACGATATATATATATATATATATATATATATATATATATATATATATAAATGAGAATGATCGTAATTAGATCAAAAATCACGATCACTCGCGTGTAATTCGAGAATTAAAAACAAAAGATTAGGTGTATATATAGAGACAGATAAATTAGACTCTAGTCAACGTAATATTCGTAAGGCGACGCGCACACGTTCTTTCCAATCTTTCTTTTCTTTTTTTTTTTTTTTTTTTTTTTTTATTTTTTTTTTAATCGTTCATTTCTCACCTCTTCATTGTTTCCTCACATTCTCTACATCGATATTCACATTTCACAATTCTTCTTTGTTAAACAATTCCTTCTTCATCGATCTTCCTTCTTCTCTAACTTTTCTTCTTTGTTTTTCTCCTTTTTTAATTTTTCTTTTTTTATTTTTTGCACTCTTTTTCTTATTGTCTTTTGTAATCCGTTGTAACGAAAGAAAAGTTAGAAGGAGGAATTTAAATATCATAAACACACGCGCACACACACACACACACACACACACACACAGCCAGCATACACGTTCAAATAAATGCATCCTACCTATCCTTAAAGTGAGGTTGCGTTTTATGGCTGTTTGCTCGAAAAAGAAGACCCGTTATTTTCCACGCGTAGGAATGATTGTCCTTGTACGTATTATCGTTATTATATATATATATATATATATATATATATATATATATATATGTATATATATATATCTTATATAACCGTAAAGAAAATTTTCGTTAAAAGCCCCCACACCAGATTGAAAATCCTTATAAAATTTGCACATGCACGTGCTGTGACTATTCCGTTAAGTAGCGATGCGTAATTAATACATGTAAATCTTTTTGTAAGTACCTCAAACGTTTTATTGTTTATCCCAATATTCACATTCTCTATATCTATTTTTCTTCTTTTCTTTTTCTTCTTTTTTTTTTTTTTCTTCGTTTTCTGATCTACCTCAACCTTTCTTCCGATAGATTATATTACAATTTTCAGGACAAATCTTTAAACAAATTCGATACATTCATCCGATT